TTACTGATGTAGATCAATACTAATTTTTTTCAAACTATATTTTCATTGAGGAAATTTAAAGTTAAGATAAACTCAATACCTAAGCTGAGTAAGTTATCTCCCTTTCCCCATCCACTCCAATTTTTGTTCTAATTATCAATCATAACACTGAATCATCCTATGCATGAGATGGTGGAATGGATGAGTCCTACACTGGATGTCAAAAGACTGGATCCTACCACTGGCCAATTGCAACAATTTAGGCAAATCACCTCACTTCCCTGATCTTCAGTTTATCCACAAGTAAAATAAGACTAGATTATCTAGTCTATTATTATCTAGTCTTACTATGTATTATTGTCATCTAAATCCTACAATTTCTGGGGCGCCTGAGTGGCTCAGTGGGTTAAAGCCTCTGCCTTCGGCTCAGGTCATGATCCCAGGGTCCTGGGATCGAGCCCCGCATCGGGCTCTCTGCTCTTCGGGGAGCCTGCTTCCTCCTCTCTCTCTGCCTGCATCTCTGCCTACTTGTGATTTCTGTGTGTCAAATAAATAAATAAAATCTTTTAAAAATAAATAAATAAATAAATCCTACAATTTCTATAAATTATTAGCATTTAATTTTAACCAATGTAGGTGGGGTTTGGGGGGTGGGGTCTTGTGGGTTGGGGGGGGTCTGCGATCACTTTTAAGTAAAAGGAACAGCACACACAGTGAGGAGTCCAGCTGAAGAACTCCACAAGAACATTAACATGGCTTTGTATGGTCTCACTCTCAAATGCAAAGAGAACAAACGAACGAAAACAGAAAAAAAGAAGTATTTTGGATCTGAAGACTATCCAACTAATATTTTGACTACACAAGCTTCTAGGGTAGAAAAAATGGTAGAAGAACAGTAAAAATGTTCAAGGGAAACCACCATCACAAGAATACCAAATAAAAAACAGATGCCCTACATACACTTATTGCTACATGACAAAAGCTTTTCATGGCTTTTCAATACTCCTAAGTCCCGACAGGAGAAAAAAAAAAAAATGTTTTCTTAACCATCAATCTAAATGTACTTCTTGCATCCTCAAACCTGAAAAAGGCAAAATAACAGGCAATCCTGACTAACTTATTTGTGCACATAACTGATCTGCTCAACTTTATACCTTTACAGCATTTAGTAATGTACCCTGAACAGAAAAGGCACGTCACACCAGTTGAACAAGTGAATGAGCTACATATGAATCTCTAATCCACAAATGCATCCATAGAAAATAAATCTGGTCAAGCTTTACTACTTCTTCGGAAGGTATTCTAGTAAAATGCAACATCTGAAGAGAAGAAACAGAAGTAACTAAATACACCAGACTTCCACAGTTCTCAGGCATCAGTTAAGAATTTAAACTTGCAATTAAGACATCACAAAATACAATTAAAACTGAGTAACAAAACACACTCAAAAAAACAAAAAACCTGAGTAACAAATAGCCTGAAATTTACCTACATCAATGCCTGCCCTATTCAAAAGCCTTTGCTTCCTACTGCAGTAATGGCAAGAAAATCTCTCCACTTCCCAAAATTAAAAAAAAAAAAAAAAAAAGCTTACAAAAACTTGACTACATTTACCTACCTTTGGAACCAACTTTTATTCAGTTAAATTCAAAGAAACATGTTATTTTCAAGCAATTTCTTAAAAAAAAAATTATGTGAACACACGGGATACTTAAGTTTTACTGTCTGATTAAATCCAACAAGAAATTCAGTTTAAAATAGATCTTCCACGGGGCGCCTGGGTGGCTGGCTCAGTGGGTTAAAGCCTCTGCCTTTGGCTCAGGTCATGATCCCAGGGTTCTGGGATGGAGCCCCACATCGGGTTCTCTGCTCAGCAGGGAGCCTGCTTCCTCCTCTCTCTGCCTGCCTCTCTGCCTACTTGTGATCTCTGTCTGTCAAATAAATAAATAAAATCTTTAAAAAATAAAAAAATAAAATAAAACACATCTTCCTAAGAGGCCATGGAGGGAATCACAGCTATACAGATATTTCAGATATTTCATAGTGGGTAACAGGCCTATTTAGGTTAAGGTGTAATATGAACACATTTTTCTAATTAGAATACAATGTTTGTTTATTCATTCAACAAACATTTGCAGTGCCAATATCCTACAAAGAAAATAAAATCCTACATAGTGCCTCAAACAAAGATAAAATCGGAGAAGGGCCTATTCTGATCTCAAGAGGAGATAAAACTAGTTCGGAAATACCTAAATACAAGGTAGAAAGTGTGAACGCTATGGGAGATGTGCAGATAAGCATTTCAGAGGAGTGCAAAGGAAGTTGTTACTACCTCACAGAAACATAATCCTTTCTGTTTAAAGCAATTTCATAACTATTAACTCTCTTAAGATCACAGCAGCCAGCCCTAGGAGAGTGGATGCTTTCCTACTATCAGAGACCAAGAAATGGAAGCAAAGAAAGGTTGATCATGTTCCAAAATGTCAAATAGTAAAAGGAAGAATCAGGACTCTTTGTATTGTGTTTTCACTGGGGGAGTAGTTCAACATATGGCAAGGCTTTTGCAAAAGGAAAGAGTATTTTGGTATTGCAAGTAATCCCGTCCTTATGTATGTATGTAAGCATGTGCATATTATTTATATATACGCGTGTTAACCTTGATTTCCACTGACAGGTGTGCTTAAAGCAAGGCAGTGTACTGTGTGCACTGTGTACTATAATGTTAAAATAAATAAATAAGCTTCCACCGGATCTAACAGAATAAGCGAATACAAACACTGTTTCTTCCTCCAACAACTTGTATTTATTTCTTCGGTAATTTTCACCCATTTCTAAATAAGACAATAAAATTGTTCTATCTGCTCCTGAGCCCAGGCCACTTGGTTCACCACAATAAGTGTCTTTATGAAAGGGTATGTTAAGACTTTTTTTTTTAACTATTAAAAATTAAATAATGCCAAAGGACCTTCAGTTATGGAAAAGGACAATCCCATGGGATCTACTGGCAGGAGCTATGGATCAAGACATGCTGAACGAAGAGAATGAGTGTTTGTAGTCATTTTTAAATCCCGGGCCTGTTGCTCTTGGCTCAGGGTTCCGCCTCTCTTCATTGCCTCACCAAAATGCACACAAGGAACGCAAATTTCAATGTTAATTAGGGCATGACCAGGGAAGCAAATCTGATACAGGTGAGTACACTAACCCCAAAGATTAGAACTACCTATACCACTGCTCTCCAAGGTTAACTCTGCTTAAGTGGCGCCATAGCATGCAACATCAGTAAAAGAAAACTGACGCTTCCCGAGCAAACACTTTTCACAAACATCACTTACTCGCACGTCCACCTCTAATAAGACTACACCTAATCCAGTCCAATCGAAGAATTCAGTCTGCTCTCCCAGAAGACCGGTTTCTCAATTACAGTTTCTCAAATCCCTCTTCCTCTATGAGAATTCACCGACTTCAACCAGTAAAACCAATAATAAAAGGCAGAAGGCAGAGGGTTCCGATCTTTGCCATCTCCACCACTACCCACCCTTCGCCATTACACCCCGAAGGGGTTTGCTTAGAAGGTGAACTACTTTGCTCTCCACGCACTTGTCCATCGCTGTCACCCTCCCTAAGCCCTTCCACACTCCCGAGACGGCCACCAACTCCGCCTCGGATCGAGCCCAGGCCCGCCACCTGTGCCGGCCCCACCTGGGCTCCCCCGGCCCTCCCCGGCTCCCTCGGCCCAGCCCGCAGGACTCCGCACGCCCCCTCCCCACAGGACAACCGGCCGGCCGCAGCCCATTCTTCCTCCAAACTCCATAAGCCTCTTCGACTCGCCCAGCCCCAGCTCCCCGCCGCGCCCGACTCGCCCCGGGCAGCCGAGGGAAGAGCCCGGGCGTCCGCGGCGGGACCCGACCTACCGGGCCCGCGACGCCCCTCGCTGGACCGAGAAGCAGCTCCCGCGGCCGGCGCCCTAGGAGCCCTCGGAAGCCCCGGAGCGAGCTGGGGGCCCGGAGGCCGGGGCTGCGGGCGCCGGGGCCTACTCACCAGGAGCTGGCGGAGCGTGGTAGCCGGCGCGCCCCCGGGCCTGAGGAGCAGGACGCGGCCCCGGCGCGCGTCCCTACCCCGGGACCTCGCTCGGCGCGGCGAGCTGGGAGCTCACTCCAGCCGCCGCCGCCGCCGCCGCCGCTGCTGCTTCGCCACCTTGGCCGCCATCTTGACTCAACCCCTCTCCCTCCCCCCTGGCTCCGGCGGCCGCCGCCGAGGCGGCTCTGGCGCCGGCTCCTCCTCCTTCCGGAGGGCTGGGAGACCGACTCCCTCCGCTGGCCGAGCGCGGCTCCTACCTCGGCCGAGCTTCCTGGGCCTCCCCGCGCCGGGTCCCCTCGGCTCTGCCCTCGGCCTGGCTGCGGCTGTCCCCTCGAGCGAACACTGGGCCGGGGCCGCGCCGTGCCCGCCCGGACCCAGCGCGCTGCCATCGCGCCGGGGCGCTCGCCGCGAGCCGGCCGGCTGCCGCGCGCTCGGGGCCTTCCCCGGGCCGTGGGAAAAGAAAGGATCCGAAGCCATGCCTCGGGCCCTGCGAGCCCTCCGCGGCGCGGCGGCCGCCGCCTCCTCGACCCGGGCTGCGGGGAGGAAAGTCCCAGGGCTGGGAGCCGGAGGGCTGCACGGCGACCTACCCAAGGGTCTGCGGCTGTAATTCGCAGCGGGACTTCACAGCACGTCAGGCGATGCTGATTTGTCCGTGATGTCGTTCCTTAATCTAAAGTCACCCGTCGGAGGAGCCCGTGGCTCTTGGCGACCACGAAGTGCGCTCTCTCGGTCTTACTCTTCTAGGGAAACCACTGGACGGTTCCTCGTCACCGCGTGCGTTTCCCTCCGAGGAGCCACCGCTCCCCATGCCAAAATGAAGAAGGAAAAACTAAGTCGGTTCATTCGGAGAAGGGGCCGACCAAATAATTAGGGGGAAGTCTAGGGTTTTAATAAATGAGTCACAAAAGTGTGAATTGAAGAGAGGAGCGAATTCAAGAGAGGGAGGGCGGGTGTTTTCAAACAATTCTTTTTAAACCCAGGGCACTCTAAGGACAGGGGCGGAAAGCTGGACGGCAAGGGGCTCGTCTCCGAAACCCAGAAGGCAAAAACGTCGTAGATGCTCCATAAAGTGGAGAGAACTAGATAAAGAACGGTTGGGAGGTGTCCTTGCAAAAGCCACAACAGGAGCCCAACGTTGAAAGCCGCTGGCGGGCCAGAGTTAAACTCGGAACGCAATTTCCGCGGGTGCAGTTTTCCCGCCGGAGGCTGGGTGTGCGGCAGCCTTCCTCCCGCGCAGGCGCAGTGCCGCCCAGAGAGGATGGAAGCTGTGGCTTTTCTGTGTTTGGCCGCTGCGGTCGTAGCGTGGGGCTTCCTCTGGGTTTGGGACTCCTGGGAAAGAGTGAAAAGTCAGGAACCGGCTGGCGTCCCGGGAGATGGAAGCAAGACCCTCCTGGTGATCGCGCACCCCGATGATGAAGCCATGTTCTTTGCTCCCACTTTGCTAGGCTTGGCCCGCCTGAGGCACCGGCTGTCTTTGCTCTGCTTCTCTGCAGGTAGGAGGCTGTAGGCGGGTCGCTGGGAGCGGGGGCTATGATGCGTATTCAGGTGCCAACCTATCTCAGTGGGCTTCTCCCCGAAGGGAAGATAAGTTGAGGGAGCTAAGTGAGGACAACAAAGGTCCCTTCTCTGGGCACTTCACGGAGGAGGGTGGCCCCAGCCTGTGGACTGCAGCGGCCAACGTCCCAGGTGGGTTGGGGGACGTCCCCAGTTGAGGTACTTACCTGCCAGCAGGATTGAGGAGCACAAGACAACTGCTCACATCTCTTGCATCTAATACCTACGTTTCCGCTGGGAACTGCGACTCTCTACTCGTTATTCTGTGGAACCTCTTTATATGCTAAAGGACCAAGAATAATGATCTTCTGTGGGACACCCAACAATCTAGGCTGTAGCGTGCCTGCTCCACCCTTGCCATTTTACTCCGAAAGGTAGCACAGGACCTTCCTGCGGCTTTTAAAATCCACTTTGTGCTAGAGCGTTGCATATGTCAGATTGAAGGGAAAGATTCAGATCATTAGACTAGAAAATAATTTTATAGTAATTTTAGAGTTCATTTCCACCAACTTCGAGGGATGAGTCGTCTCCAAGAGTAAGTCCTGCTTTATCATACAGAAAAGATGGACTGAGAAAACAAAAACTGACCATGATACTGATGATATTTGCCCAACTGTATAAATGTCATTGAACTACACATAGACAGTGGGTATGTAAAATTAAACCTCAATAAAGTTATTTTTAACAAATACCCATGACCTCTTTTCCCACTTAGTTGTGTCATTACAGTTCTGTTTCTACACTGTTTTTTTACAGATACTCCATTTTATATAATTTTATATTTTTCACTGAACATTAGTTTTCGCTTATTTACCAAATATTTATTTTTTTACTGTTTTTTAAGAGATTTTATTTATTCGAGAGAGAGAGAGAGCACAGGGGGGACGAACAGAGGGCGAGAGAGAAGCAGACTCCCCACTGAGCAGAGAGCCCTACTGGGGGCTCGATCCTAGGACCCCAAGAGCATGACTCCAGCAGAAGGCAGCCTCTTACAAGATTGAGCCACCCAGGTGCCCCTACCAAATATTTATTAAAAATGTATGTGCATATGTTAATTAATTGGATTTAAATAAATAAAAAAGAAATTATAGGTTTAAAAGAGCCATTTTTAAAAGAAAAAAAAAAATCTGTGCACTGCACACTATTAGAAGGTCAAAGCCACAGCATTGACAATACCAAATGCGTAGGATGTGAAGAAACAGGAACTCTTACTCGTTGGTAGTGGGAATGCAGAATGCTTCACCCACTTTTTTTAAGATTTTATTTATTTGTCAAAGAGAAAGAAATCACAAGTAGGCCGAGAGGCAGGCAGAGGCAGAGGGAGAAGCAGGCTCTCTGCCGAGCAAGGAGCCCGATGCGGGACTCAATCCCAGGACACCGGGATCATGACCCGAGCCAGAGGCAGCCGCTCAACCAACGGAGCCAGCCAGACGTTCCTGCTTCACCCACTTTGGGAGACTTAGTTTGGCAGTTTCTTATAAAAACTAAACATGCTCTTACCAAACCTTCCAGCAGTCACCCTCCCTGGTGTTTATCCAAAGGAGTTGAAAATATGTCCACACAAAAACCTGCCCATAGATGTTTATCGCAACTTGACTCATAATTGCCAAAAATTGAGTGCAACCAAAACACCCTTCGGTTGGGAAATAAACAAGTAAGTTGGGACATCCAGGCAATAGAATATTATTCAATGCTAAAAAGAAATGAGCTATGAATCCCTGAAAAAACATGGAGGAACCTTAATGGCATATCACTAAGCAAAGGAAACCATTCTGAAAAGGCTATGTACTGTGTGATTCCAACCATATGACATTCTGGAGAAGGCAAAATGATAAAGACAGTAAAAAGATCAGTGGTTGCCCGGGGTTGGGGCGAAAGGAGGGTGAATTGGAGAAGCACAGAAGATTCTTCTTCAGCAGTGAAAATACTGTATGATATTATAATAAGGGATGCATGTCTTTGTACATTTTTGTCCAAGCCCTCATCCTGTACACCACCAAGAGGGAACCCTAACGTAAACTATGGACTTTGGGTGATTATGATGTATCAGTGTAGGTTCACCCATTGTAACATATAGCACTGTCATGGGGGATGTTGATAATGAGAAAGGCTATGCATGTGTAGGGACGAGGGTTAACGTGAAATCTCCATACCTTCCCCTCAATTTTTCTGTGAACATAGAACTGCTCTAAAAAGCAGAGTTTTAATTTAAAAAAAAAAAAAAGAAAGAAAAAAACTTCCTTATTCTATACCCTAGGAATAAAACAGTGAAAAGCTAGATTAGGATCACATCCTTGTGAAACATAATATAAGCATTTACCCATGTTAATAAGAACTAGATAATAATAGCCTTTGTTTCAAGTTTTTATTTAGATTCTAGTTAATGAACATAGAGTGTAACATTGGTTTCAGGATAATAGCCTTTTAAATAGTTTCATAGAGATAAACCTTAATAGAGTCATCCCTTTATTATATGTATATTTAGAGGGATTTTTTTTTTCCAGTTTATCACTATTAACAGAAAACAGTGAACATCTTTATGTGTTTCTTATTATTTCATTAGGGCTGATTTCTAAATTTGGCTGTTTTTAAGGCTTTGCATGCAAATCAGATTCTCTAAAACATACCAATATATATCCTCACTGACAGGTAGTGAGAGTATCTGCCTAAATACAGCACCCTCTCTAGCACTGACTAGTATTTTTTTATATTACTTCTTGGCATAACACTTTTTCCCCTCAAATCTTTTGTTGCCAATGAGTTTAACCCATTTTTCATGTATTGAGAATATGAGTCTGAGCACTTTCCTACTCAGTTTGTGCTATTAAGGATATTAACTGTAAATAGATACAGGTAATGGCCTCATTGTTTGCTTTTAATGGTATTTGTGTTTTACATTACAGCTATGGGAGTCAAATTATAACATATTTGGTTCAAGATCTAGGAGAGAAACCTGGATATTATTTACCAAGTATTATAGGTGCAGTGACTTCTTCAGTAAATTTCTCCTTGTTTTTCAGGAGGTTGAAACCGGAAATTAAAATTTTTTCAAATGAAAAAATATATAGTATTCCCTTGGTACATATTAAACACACAGTAGCTTTGTCTTGCAAGTGTTTCCTCTGACTTGAATTTGGCATTTAAATTGCTCTCTTTTGGGGCACTTGGGTGGCTCAGTCATTAAGCGTCTGACTTCGACTCAGGTCATGATCCCAGCTTCCAGGGATCAAGCCTGGAATTGGGCTCCCTGCTCAGCAGGAAGTCTGCTTCTCCCTCTCCCACTCCCCCTTCTTGTATTCCCTCTCTTGATGTCTCTGTGTCTCTGTCAAATAAATAAATAAAATATTTAAAATAAATAAACAGTTCTCTCTTGTAATGTTTTTGAAAGATTAATTTATTTATAAGAGAGAGCATGGGGGTAGGGGGTACAGTGAGAGGAGGAGAGAGAATCTTAAGCAGGTACCACGCCCAGCACGGAGCCCATGGCTCCGGGCTCCTTCTCAAGAGCCTGAGATCCTGGCCTGAGCCGAAATCAAGGATTGGATGCTCAACCGACCAAGCCACCCAGGCACCCCTCTTAGAAATTTTTAATTACTTCTATTTTTTTAATTACTTTTAAAATCCCCCTCACTCAAAAAGGTACAGATTAAACATTACCCACACTCCTAATTTATTTTTTTAAAAAAAGAAACTAAAATACAGTGATAAAGACAATACAAAACTAAGTTATCATCTGGAGTCTTAGGGTTAATCCCTGTGTTGGATACCGTGTAATGACTGTCTCCTTTCTGGGTGCAAACAGTTCACAAGTAGCACTAAGGCAACTCCGGCCAAATTCGAAAGGTCTGGTGGTGCTGTTTTCCTGTGGGTTATCTGGCTTGTAAAGGAAGCCCCTCTTGGTTCAGTGCTTCCTGAGTGCCTGAAGTGTTCTGGACACCAGGATGACACAAAGTTGAATGAGACTGTGACATTTAAGGTCAATGACATTTAGGAATTAATAATCTGATCATGGAGAAAAGTTCATATGTCTGAGCAGAATACTGGAAATGATTCCTTGCCAGGGAAAAATGGGAGACTTACCAGAGGGGATGTCATTTAGTCAGGACGATGAAAATGGATTGTCATTTAGGAAGAAATGAAACGGGGTAGGGGGGTGGAGTGTAAAGCTAAAGAAGTTGAGGAAAGAGAAAACACTGCATACTGAACTGGCTGGATATGTATTGTCTCATGAAATTCTCAGGACAGCCGTAGGAGATGGTCATCTCCACTTCACAGTTGGAGACCCTGTGGCTCAGGAAAGTTAAGTAACTAGCACACAGTACACATGCGATTATCTGCCAGAGAGTTGAATTAAGGGGTGCATTAGCTAGACAATTGCTCATAAGTGCAGTTTAAGTGGTACTAAACCTTCACTATATATTATTGTAAGGATACAGAGAAGCCGTACTTAGCAGAACGATTCATAGGAAACAGAATATATGTGTTGGGAAAAGAAAGGATATATAAGCTATTTGGGGCACTGATGTGGTCAAGATCCCCCAGGGACACATTTTCCTGTAATACTCAGGAGTAAGAGCCTCTTCTTTAAATAAATGTTCAGCAGATATTTAAGGACTATCAATTTAAAGGTTCCCAAATTAATAGCATGCCCAGGTACCTGACTTACTCTGGGCAGTTTGGGAAGAGGCAGTTTTAAATCTGCTGAACTCCAAAGTCCATGGTCTTGGCAGTGTGCAGTACTGCCTGTAGCATGCAGCTGAAATGCAGGCAGACAGACAGAGGGACAGACAGGTAGATCCAGAGATGGGGAAGGATTAAATGGTGATGATTCTAAAGACTGGGCTGCTGTCAGTCATCTCACAGGAGTGAATAGTATTTCCTTCAGCTTTTTATCATAACCACAAATTTTTCAGGTGGCTTACGTCCCCTAGGGAACAAGGTGAGATAAGAATGAATAAACTAATAGATTTCCACTATCAAAGAAATCTGCCACTGTATATTTGTTATCTTCAGGAAATTACTACAATCAAGGGGAGATACGTAAGAGAGAACTTTTGCAGAGCTGTGATGTTTTGGGGATTCCACGTTCCAGTATAATGATTATTGACAACAGGTAATCTATCCTTCAAAAATGTAGAAATTCATTGGCCATAAATAGGGAGCGGTATGCTCAAAAGACATAAAAAAACTAATGTGGGTGGGTAAGAACATCTTATTTGAGAAGTCCACTTAAAATAGTTTCACATTTGTTTTTAAATGACAGTGTAATGCAAATAAATGTTTTCAACTTCTGTTCAGATTCTGTCTCTAAAAATAGCTACTTCTCTTTTAATCTTGAAAAAATATTGTTACAAAAATTTCAAAAATACACAGAAGGATAAAGAACCATGTCATGAACCCCCGTATGCCTATTACTGAAGCCCAGTAATTATCAAGCCTTTTCTATACTTGCTTCGTCTACCCCCATTTCACATCTGTTGTGTGTGCAAAGCCTTTCTAAAGAAAATCTAGCCATCAGGTTGTTTTACCCGTGCATAGTTAAGTATACATCCCTTAAGAAGATAGCGAGATATACATTTTTAAGAAGATAGACATTCTTTCAATGCCATTACCATCACTCATCAAAGTTAATAATTAATGTTGATGTCCTCCCAGCACCCAGTCCATACTGACATTTCTCCAAGTAGCTCAAAGTGTTTTCAGTTGGGTTTGTTCAAGTCAGGGCCTAAAGGAGTCCACGAAGGATATAATTGGTTGATACTCTCCCATTCATTGTCCTTTCCTCCCTCCCCCACCTTGTCTTTGTTGAAAAAACTTAGTTGTCCTATAGAATGTCATGCCTTCTGGACTTGTCTGCCTGTCTTCTCATGGTGTTAAGTTGTTCTTCTATCATTCATATTTCTTTTTTTTTTTATATTTTATTTATTTATTTGACAGACAGAGATCACAAGTAGGCAAACAGGCAGGCAGAGAGAGAGGAGGAAGCAGGCTCTGCTGAGCCGAGAGCCCGATGCGGGGCTCGATCCCAGGACCCTGAGATCATGACCTGAGCTGAAAGCAGAGGCTTAATCCACTGAGCCACCCAGGCGCCCCTATCATTCATATTTCTTGCAAACTAGAACTTAGCTATAACTTTCAGGAGCGAGAATACTGCTAAAAACTACTGTGTACGTCACATTGAATCATTTCAGGAGACCACATGCTATCGATCGTCTCGCTTATAATGATTCTACCACTGATCAGTGAATTCACGTGGCAACGGCTGCTCCTTTCATTTCAAAGACCCACACCCACCTTTCATGTAATGCTTTCATGATTGCCTGAATCATTGGTTAACTAGAAATAGCCAAATGCTGAGTTTCTGAATGTCTCCTGCATTCTAAATGTATCAGCTGTAATTCTTCGGCAAAGCAAAACTTTATCAGCTGGGGCTATGTAGTTACCCTAGTATATAATTTTATCTGAAAAGAAAGGTAAAGCTTAATTCTTTTTCTTTTTAATTTTATTTATTTATTTGAGAGAGAGAGGGAGTGGGAGCAGGAGCAGGGAGAGTGGCAGAGGGAGAAGCAGACTCCCTGCTGCTGAGCAGGGAGCCCTACTGAGGGCTCGATCCCAGGTCCCGGGATCATTACCTGAGCCAAAGATAGACACTTAACCGACTGAGCCACCTTGGCGCCCCTAAATGCTTAATTCTTTAATTGCCATTTTCAGAATAAGGAGTCGATGCCCTGTGTACCTCCAGTGGTAACCCATTGTTTTGTGGCTTGGATAGGGAGGGCACTTTTTCATTTCATCGGGTACCTATGTGTTTTTATGTATTCAGGGTTTCTGTTTTGGTTGTGTTCTTTGTTTCCCCAATTGTCTCATCTTTGACTCTTGAGCCTCTTAATGTTAGCTCCTGGGTCCTTTGTCATGGTCTCTTTGTTTTGTAGGATTTGCTTGCTGTCAGGGACGATGAGATTTCCCAGCACCTTCTTGTATGCGTTCCTGCCCCAGTGCTGGCATCAGCCCTCCCTCTGAGGAGCTTTGGTTTCTCTTGGGAGGGTGTGGTATTTAGAGACCATAACCAGAGTTACTAGGAGTGTTTACTGCTACAGTGTTACGGTGGACAGAGCTGGTTAATATGTATTTTTTTAAGGAAAAAGAAATCAGGAATACTAATGCTTACAATGTAGAGTTAATATTTCAGGGGTTTTGTTTAATACCTTTGATTTTTACATCAAATCTCTTTTCTCTCACACTGTAAGTCTTGCTTTCTAACAACATGAACATAATTATTCTCTTTTTAAATCTTTAAGGATTTTATAAAACATGAATAAAAAAATACTTGAAAAGCAGATATTAAAAACCAAGGCTAAATATAATATAACTGACCATAATGTCTGCAATATACTTCAGAATGATTCAGAAAAAAAAATGCATACCTATATAGATTAAGCCAAAATAGTAAAATATTAACAGTTTCAACCCTGGTGAAAGATACACAAGAGTAGATTATACTAATCTTTTAACTTTTTTGTTTGTTCATAACTTTTTATAATAGAAAAAATTCCGAGTACCATACCACGTGCCTTTTCTCTGATTATTTTCTGGCATGTATTAATATATGTTACTGTATTGTTATCGACCTGCCTCTTCAATTAAAAAAATTCAGGGGCACCTGGGTGCCTCAGTCAGTTAAGCATCTGCCTTCAGCTCAGGTCATGATCCTAGGGTTCTGGAATCAAGCTCCGCACAGGGATCCCTGCTCAGCAGGGAGCCTGCTTCTCCCTCTTATGATCCCCCAGCTTATACTCTCTCTCTGTCTGTCAAATAAATAAATAAAAATGTTTAAAAAAAAAAAAAAGACCACTTTGTTGAGAAAAAATCTGATGGATTGCTAGGCTTTGATTGTCCCCATGCATTGTCCATGAGCTGAATCACTCTCCCTGGGTTTCCTTTTTCATTTCAGCACCTGCTTTAATTAGCTGCTTCCTCCCACAGTGGAAGAGGTTGGGGGTGGGAGATGGAGTTTAGATGAGCAGCAAATAAATTAATCCTGGCAGAGGGGCGCCTGGGTGGCTCAGTGGGTTAAGCCGCTGCCTTCGGCTCGGGTCATGATCTCTGGGTCCTGGGATCGAGCCCCGTGTCGGGCTCTCTGCTCAGCGGGGAGCCTGCTTCCTCCTCTCTCTTTGCCTGCCTCTCTGCCTACTTGTGATCTCTGTCTGTCAAATAAATAAATAAAATCTTAAAAAAAAAAAATTAGTCCTGGCAGACATGTATCTCTTACCATTTGAACCTTCATGACATCACAATAGAAACAGGAACAATAGTGGAGACCGATGATTAGTTGTTTGCTTTAGAATGATCACTCTGGGTGCCTGGGTAGTTCAGTAGGTTGACCAAGGGACTCCTTTTTTTCAAGATTTTATTTGTTTATTTGACAGAGTGAATGAGAGAGACAGCAAGCATGGGGAATGGCAGGCAGGGGAGAAGCAGGCTCCCTGCTGAGCAAGGAACCTGATCTGGAGCTCGATCCCAGGACCCTGGGATCATGACCTGAGCCGAAGGCAGATGCTTAACAACTGAGCCTCCCAGGAGCCCCACCAAGGGACTCTTGATTTCAGCCCAGGTCATGATCCTTAGGGTCATGAGATCAAGCCCAAGTTGGGCTCCGCACTGAGCATGGAGCCTGCTTAGGATTCACTCTCCCTTCCTCTGCCCCTCTACCCCCCTCCACTGTGCTCTCTCTAATTAATTAATTAATTAATTAATTGAAGTTTTAGAATGATCACTCTGATGATAAAATGGATTGAAAAGCTTAGGACCACAGATTAATCAGTCTCATGTGTGAGTCCTGGCAAAAGGAGAAGGTGTCAATTTAGAGTCCAGCAGGTAAGATGGAGATGAGGGGATGATGTGAGTCTTATTGAAGATGGTTCAAGAACAGAAGAAATCTGGGATAATGGAAATTGCAGGCATAGAGAGCTAGGTGGATAAAGGTCAGCTCTCATAGTTTAGGGCGAGAATTGGGTTATGGGAAAGAACAGATCAGACATCCTTAGCATATGGACGAATTAAAACCATTGGAGTGGCTGCAGTCACCCTCACTTGGATCGGTGGGGCGATAAGAGAGTATGGAGATTAGTCAAGGCAAGAAGAGAAAACCACAAATAAGGAGGAGAATTATGCATTTGGTATCATGTAACCCAAGGAGTGGGCATGGGGATGGTTCAGGAAATTGTGAAGCAAATAAGAATTCCCTGCTCAGAGAAGAACCCCAATATTAAGCAAAATTAGCATCAGATGCTAGAAAAAATTCTGTATCCTCCCTTTTTTCATGAGAGAGCATTTTTAGCATTTCCCCAAGTCATTAAATAGTCCTTACAATGGTCTTAAAGATTGCATCACAAGGGTGTGTTATGACCTGATTAATGTTGAATTAATCAGGTCATAACTACTACTATTGAGTATTTGAATTTTCCCAATATTAAAGTATTTTAAAATCTGATAATAAATCTTTGAAGTTCTGACCTTTTCCTTGGGTAGATTCCTAGATGATGAATTACTGAGACAAAGGACAGGACTAATAGTTTCTTTCATCTGGGTACCAAAAACATTCTTACTAAGGTTATTGTGGCTTATCTTACTTTTTGTTGTTGTTATGAATAAGACTTCTTCTGATACACTTGTTTTTAAGACTTTACTGCTGGTATGGAGAATATTTACTGACTTTTACGTGTATTTTTTTTTTATATCCATCCACTTAACAAAACGTCTTTAAAGAACCTAACAGCATTTCACTTGATTTTCTTAGCGTTATCGGTTATCCCTGCAAATAATGCTAATACAGTCTTTCATTTTCCTATTTACGTCTCTTACTTGTGTTCTACTTCTTATTATAACTTTGGGTGGAATTTCTTAAACTATGTTTGACAGTTGTGGTAAGAACAGGTAACTTGATCTGCATTGATGAATTGACTGAGAAAACATCTAGTATTTTACCATTAACTGTGTTGGCTGCCGATTAGAAAGGATATTCTTGGGGTGCCTGGGTGGCTCAGTCGGTTAAGCACCAGGCTCTTGGTTTCAGCTCAGGTCGTGATCTCAGGGTGGTGAGATCAAGCCCTCCCT